AGTGGTGTCTGGCCGTGATCTGACTGTGTGTCTGTTGTCTCCCAGTATAAGCAGTGGTGTCTGGCCATGATCTGACTGTGTGTCTGTTGTCTCCCAGTATAAGCAGTGGTGTCTGGCCGTGATCTGACTGTGTGTCTGTTGTCTCCCAGTATAAGCGGTGGTGTCTGGCCGTGATCTGACTGTGTGTCTGTTGTCTCCCAGTATAAGCAGTGGTGTCTGGCCGTGATCTGACTGTGTGTCTGTTGTCTCCCAGTATAAGCAGTGGTGTCTGGCCGTGATCTGACTGTGTGTCTGTTGTCTCCCAGTATAAGCGGTGGTGTCTGGCCGTGATCTGACTGTGTGTCTGTTGTCTCCCAGTATAAGCAGTGGTGTCTGGCCGTGATCTGACTGTGTGTCTGTTGTCTCCCAGTATAAGCAGTGGTGTCTGGCCGTGATCTGACTGTGTGTCTGTTGTCTCCCAGTATAAGCGGTGGTGTCTGGCCGTGATCTGACTGTGTGTCTGTTGTCTCCCAGTATAAGCGGTGGTGTCTGGCCGTGATCTGACTGTGTGTCTGTTGTCTCCCAGTATAAGCGGTGGTGTCTGGCCATGATCTGACTGTGTGTCTGTTGTCTCCCAGTATAAGCGGTGGTGTCTGGCCGTGATCTGACTGTGTGTCTGTTGTCTCCCAGTATAAGCGGTGGTGTCTGGCCGTGATCTGACTGTGTGTCTGTTGTCTCCCAGTATAAGCGGTGGTGTCTGGCCGTGATCTGACTGTGTGTCTGTTGTCTCCCAGTATAAGCGGTGGTGTTTGACTGTGTGTCTGTTGTCTCCCAGTATAAGCAGTGGTGTTTGACTGTGTGTCTGTTGTCTCCCAGTATAAGCAGTGGTGTTTGACTGTGTGTCTGTTGTCTCCCAGTATAAGCAGTGGTGTTTGACTGTGTGTCTGTTGTCTCCCAGTATAAGCAGTGGTGTTTGACTGTGTGTCTGTTGTCTCCCAGTATAAGCAGTGGTGTCTGGCCGTGATCTGACTGTGTGTCTGTTGTCTCCCAGTATAAGCGGTGGTGTTTGACTGTGTGTCTGTTGTCTCCCAGTATAAGCAGTGGTGTTTGACTGTGTGTCTGTTGTCTCCCAGTATAAGCAGTGGTGTTTGACTGTGTGTCTGTTGTCTCCCAGTATAAGCAGTGGTGTTTGACTGTGTGTCTGTTGTCTCCCAGTATAAGCGGTGGTGTCTGGTTGTGATCTGACTGTGTGTCTGTTGTCTCCCAGTATAAGCAGTGGTGTTTGACTGTGTGTCTGTTGTCTCCCAGTATAAGCGGTGGTGTTTGACTGTGTGTCTGTTGTCTCCCAGTATAAGCAGTGGTGTTTGACTGTGTGTCTGTTGTCTCCCAGTATAAGCGGTGGTGTTTGACTGTGTGTCTGTTGTCTCCCAGTATAAGCAGTGGTGTTTGGCTGTGTGTCTGTTGTCTCCCAGTATAAGCAGTGGTGTTTGACTGTGTGTCTGTTGTCTCCCAGTATAAGCGGTGGTGTTTGACTGTGTGTCTGTTGTCTCCCAGTATAAGCAGTGGTGTTTGACTGTGTGTCTGTTGTCTCCCAGTATAAGCGGTGGTGTTTGACTGTGTGTCTGTTGTCTCCCAGTATAAGCGGTGGTGTCTGGTTGTGATCTGACTGTGTGTCTGTTGTCTCCCAGTATAAGCAGTGGTGTTTGACTGTGTGTCTGTTGTCTCCCAGTATAAGCGGTGGTGTTTGACTGTGTGTCTGTTGTCTCCCAGTATAAGCAGTGGTGTTTGACTGTGTGTCTGTTGTCTCCCAGTATAAGCGGTGGTGTTTGACTGTGTGTCTGTTAGGGCTGCAACAAACGATTATTTTGATAATCGATTAATCTAACGATTATTAGAACGATTAATCGACTAATCATCGATTATTTCGCAGACTAATCAGTAAGTTTGGAACGATTATTCAGCTTTTCCAATTAGTTAAAACATTGAGTTATACATATTCTAACTATAATACAAAAAAAGAAAATCACTTCAGCTTTTGAAATAGTTGTTTTAATGAACTTTGAGCCAACTAAACAGGTCATTCTCTTTAAGTTTTCAGATTTCGGTCCAACTCAAATCACACTCAAATGCTCTCTAAGCATTGTTTAATAGGCCCACTGCTTTTCTTAGAACTGAAACAGAAAAAGGGACATTTACTTCAGGACACAAAGAATGGTAAAATATTAATCTGCAAACAATTATTATAATTATAAAATTACAATCTTTTTTTACATGACAATTGAGCTGACAGAGACGTTCTCATTCACCTTTTAATTTATAGTATGATAAAGTAACTGCCATGATATTCTTCCTATGTCATAGGAAGGATATAACATCTCGTTTTGTAAGTCTTCATGATTATTGAACAAAATACAGGCAAGTGATAAGACTATAATAATACCTAATATACTAATAGTGTTACAATAATAAAAACAGCCCTGACTCCTAAGCTCAATCAAGCATTATTCTATACAAAATAAGTCATCACATTACTGTAATTATATTACTATTGATAATATTATTATTAGTAGTATTACATTCTCTAATAAAGAGAGATTTGCCGCTGGTTAGTAAGCTCCAGCTGGAGAACACTCACTTCTCACCGGCTCCTCTTTTGCCGGGATGTTTCCTCTTGCACTCCAACATGCATGTTGTGCTCCCGTGAAAATTGCACACGACAGCATTCTTGATTTGAAGTTTTGTGAAACTTTCCCAAACCTAAACCTTGCTAGTTCGGATTCGTTTGCACTGTCATAATTCGCGCTGTTTTCTCTTCTACCGCAATAGCATTTGTAAGGGCTGCACTACACTCTAGCGCTACAGCGCCGTAGCGTTCAAATCGCGGGATTGCAGGCCCTTACATTAGGTCACGTGAGATCAAACGACTACTCGACAACAAAGATATTTGTCGACAAATTTTTATTGTCGACGTTGTCGACAACGTCGACTAATCGTTGCAGCCCTAGTGTCTGTTGTCTCCCAGTATAAGCAGTGGTGTTTGACTGTGTGTCTGTTGTCTCCCAGTATAAGCGGTGGTGTCTGGTTGTGATCTGACTGTGTGTCTGTTGTCTCCCAGTATAAGCAGTGGTGTTTGGCTGTGATCTGACTGTGTGTCTGTTGTCTCCCAGTATAAGCAGTGGTGTTTGACTGTGTGTCTGTTGTCTCCCAGAATAAGCGGTGGTGTCTGGTTGTGATCTGACTGTGTGTCTGTTGTCTCCCAGTATAAGCAGTGGTGTTTGGCTGTGATCTGACTGTGTGTCTGTTGTCTCCCAGTATAAGCAGTGGTGTTTGGCTGTGATCTGACTGTGTGTCTGTTGTCTCCCAGTATAAGCAGTGGTGTTTGGCTGTGATCTGACTGTGTGTCTGTTGTCTCCCAGTATAAGCAGTGGTGTTTGACTGTGTGTCTGTCGTCTCCCAGTATAAGCAGTGGTGTCTGACTGTGTGTCTGTTGTCTCCCAGTATAAGCAGTGGTGTTTGACTGTGTGTCTGTTGTCTCCCAGTATAAGCGGTGGTGTCTGGTTGTGATCTGACTGTGTGTCTGTTGTCTCCCAGTATAAGCAGTGGTGTTTGGCTGTGATCTGACTGTGTGTCTGTTGTCTCCCAGTATAAGCAGTGGTGTTTGGCTGTGATCTGACTGTGTGTCTGTTGTCTCCCAGTATAAGCAGTGGTGTTTGGCTGTGATCTGACTGTGTGTCTGTTGTCTCCCAGTATAAGCAGTGGTGTTTGACTGTGTGTCTGTCGTCTCCCAGTATAAGCAGTGGTGTCTGACTGTGTGTCTGTTGTCTCCCAGTATAAGCAGTGGTGTCTGACTGTGTGTCTGTTGTCTCCCAGTATAAGCAGTGGTGTTTGACTGTGGTCTCCCAGTATAAGCAGTGGTGTTTGACTGTGTGTCTGTTGTCTCCCAGTATAAGCAGTGGTGTCTGGCCATGATCTGACTGTGTGTCTGTTGTCTCCCAGTATAAGCAGTGTCGTCTCCCAGTATAAGCAGTGGTGTCTGACTGTGTGTCTGTTGTCTCCCAGTATAAGCAGTGGTGTCTGACTGTGTGTCTGTTGTCTCCCAGTATAAGCAGTGGTGTTTGACTGTTGTCTCCCAGTATAAGCAGTGGTGTTTGACTGTGTGTCTGTTGTCTCCCAGTATAAGCAGTGGTGTCTGGCCGTGATCTGACTGTGTGTCTGTTGTCTCCCAGTATAAGCAGTGGTGTTTGACTGTGTGTCTGTTGTCTCCCAGTATAAGCGGTGGTGTTTGACTGTGTGTCTGTTGTCTCCCAGTATAAGCGGTGGTG